TACAGTCATACTTAATGGTCCAGTTTACACTGGTCTCTATTGAGCGATGTGCTTCTAACATTTAAATATGATATTGTTATGATAATCCAATGTATACGACAATTTGTGAATTTATTCCTTATGCAATATATAGCATATTGTCTTGTCTTATTCATTTTAAAGGATATATTGTCTGATATGCAACTAAACCCACAAGATTGGCACACATACCTTAATAACACATCTGTCTACCATACTATCCAACCAATCTGTGTATGTTTCAATTGGTGACTGGTCTTCTAACCAATGGGTAAACTCTGTATACACTGTGATCAAGACACGAATAGTTAATAGTATGAAACCATCAATATGACATAAAATATCACGTGTGAGGGAGCATTGCACAATATTAGGGAGAAGTATTTTATCAGACAAACAAAAATCATCTATATATCTAAAGAAAAATGATTGTACATTATGCTTAAAAGATCATACTTTGTATGATCAGCAGAAACTCACTGACCCCCTGACCCCTGTAAGCCTTCCCACTTTGCATGATCTGTAGAACACTTCTCATTGACCCCTGACTCCTGTAAGCATTCCCACTTTGCATGATCTGTAGAACACTTCTCATTGACCCCTGACCCCTGTAAGCATTCCCACTTTGCATGATCTGTAGAACACTTCTTATTGACCCCTGACCCCAGTAAGCATTCCCATTTTGTATATATTTGAATAAAACTTGAAAGTGAAAAAAAGACTTACATTTGACAATGACTTGATGGTCATCTTCTCTGACATTATCCACAGTATACAACGTTTGTCTTGAAATGCTACTCAAGTCAATCGTTCTCCACTCTTCCAACATCTGAGATGTTATATCATTACTGTGAATCACTGTTCTGGAAGCCTGTCAAATAATCACATTATGAATATTCATGAGCCATATACATACATAGTTTGGGTACATTGAATTTATCATGAATATTCATGAACATATAATTTATACCAACCTGGCAAAGGTGATTCAATGAAGTTTGTCTTTTCAGCATCTGTGAAAACCGTCTAGCCACTTTGAATAAAAAAAAATTAAATCATTAATGCTGCTGCTTCAACTTTTATCAAATCAGTTTTGTTGTCATTCATACATCTATTCTGAATGAGCTGGGGTAGGGCTATTAGCCATGTTCTCTATATAGTTTGTTTTTACTTACGATCAAATTTAATGTTTTGTAAGGCTTCTGGCAAGTCGTCAAGGGCAACACGAAGCCATTCATCTAACTGCTTGGCAAATTTTCGAATGACCTGTGTCAGACTGTCAGGTAAAGCTTGTAGTACGCTGGGCATCAACACTCCAGATATGGCCTGCAAGTTGCAAGATAAAAAAATATGTTATGCATTTTCAAATAAATAAAAATAATATTGTAACCTAATAAATATGTCAAGTTTTAAAAAGCAAAAAAAAGCAATTAAAATGACTTTGGAGAAGTTCAACCAATATCAAGTTCAACCAATGTCCGGAAAATAATGTGCGGTAGTGATCAAAAAATGACATTGTTTATGTTAGGTATTTTAACTTGATTCAAAATTATGTCTTCTACTTTCTCCTAAATTTAAAAAGCATGGTGCGTTCATTTAAAAAAAAAAATATGTGTTTTAAAGAAGGAAAATTTACCATACTTGGATGAAATTACCTTATAAAGGATTGAGTCACACACTCCAACAATGTTAATTACAGGTGTGGAGCCCAGGATAGGTAACATGTGTGGGGGCATTCCTTGCCAAAAGTGTAGCAAATAGCTTTGAACCTGAGAAGAAATAAGAAGAAATTAGAGAAATTCAGAAAATTGTGGCATTAGGCAACAGCGCCACCTAGAGTACATAACATCTTTTTTGTTTGTTTACCGCATCAAAGTTGGTCCGAATCACTGTGTCCAATATTCTCTGGCAATGAGTTCTGTGCATCATAATAAACGTAGAAACCTGAAACATAAACAACACATAGATTGGTGTCAATACAAAGATTTTCAGTGTTTTAGTCCAGATACTAATAATATGATTTGCATGCAAACAATGACTTCTTCCATGAGCCAGGGCTTGAGGTGCACTCACCCAGGTTACAAGCCCATTCAATCGCTGTGGTATTTGATCAAATGGTATAATAGTAGCCTAATACTAACAACTACAAGAAATTAGGTACCTCAGGCCACTTAAATGTTAATCAAATTTCTCTCACCTTATCTTCTTGTACACTCGCAGGCAATTTGATATCTTTGACACTAGGGAATTCAGGAAGTAGAGTCCCCAATTTCGAGCGAGGTGAATATGCCACTGTCTGTCTTGCAGGGTCTTTCTTAGTGACATCACCTGTGTCTATTGACAAATAACATAATTTGTCACAAAAAGTTCAAACAGATACTACCATGACAAATCTGATTTCATGATGAGTTTTTGTTACTGATGAGTGGAGAATTAAACATTTTTGATGAAGTTGTAGATCAGGTGAATTTGATAAGCCAAGAAACATTTATTTTCACTGGTATTTAATTTCACTATTTCTATATTGTGAGCATATACACTGTGTTTTTAGTTCCCAAATTCCAGGGTCATTAGACCCTGAATTCATTATATTAGGTGCCTTCGTCCTATATTACTAAATTTTCTGATTCTGTTGGCCAAGAGATTTATCTATGTATGTAGGTGTCAACAAAAAAGACCAAATTTTGTCAACTTTGTGGGGCAAATGTTGCTGACACAAAGGGTTTCAGCTTTATTTTTGAAGAGCGACGCCCCTTCCCCCCAATTTTGTTTTGCCCCTGTGCCACCACCATCTCAATACACACGTGATGGGACAGACGAGCATCTCAATACACACGTAATGGGACAGAAGACCATCTCAATACACACGTAATGAGAAAGAAGATCATCTCAATACACACGTAATGGAACAGAAGACCACCTCAATACACACGTAATGGAACAGAAGACCATCTCAATACACACGTGATGGGACAGACGAGCATCTCAATACACACGTAATGGGACAGAAGACCACCTCAATACACACGTGATGGGACAGAAGACCATCTCAATACACACGTAATGGAACAGAAGACCATCTCAATACACACGTGATGAAACAGAAGACCATCTCAATACACACGTAAAGAGAAAGAAGATCATCTCAATACACACGTAATGGGACAGAAGACCATCTCAATACACACGTAATGGAACAGAAGACCATCTCAATACACACGTGATGAAACAGAAGACCATCTCAATACACACGTAATGGGAAAGAAGATCATCTCAATACACACGTAATGGGATAGAAGATCATCTCAATACACATGTAATGGAACAGAGGACCATCTCAATACACACGTGATGGGACAGACGAGCATCTCAATACACACGTGATGAAACAGAAGACCATCTCAATACACACGTAATGGGACAGAAGACCATCTCAATACACACGTAATGGGACAGAAGACCACCTCAATACACACGTGATGGGACAGAAGACCATCTCAATACACACGTAATGGAACAGAAGACCATCTCAATACACACGTGATGAAACAGAAGACCATCTCAATACACACGTAATGAGAAAGAAGATCATCTCAATACACACGTAATGGAACAGAAGACCACCTCAATACACACGTATCGGAACAGAAGACCATCTCAATACACACGTGATGGGACAGACGAGCATCTCAATACACACGTAATGGGACAGAAGACCACCTCAATACACACGTGATGGGACAGAAGACCATCTCAATACACACGTGATGAAACAGAAGACTATCTCAATACACACGTGATGGGACAGAAGACCATCTCAATGCACACGTAATGGAACAAATGACCACCTCAATACACACGTAATGGGACAGAAGACCACCTCAATACACACGTGATGGGACAGAAGACCATCTCAATACACACGTAATGGAACAGAAGACCATCTCAATACACACGTGATGAAACAGAAGACCATCTCAATACACACGTAATGAGAAAGAAGATCATCTCAATACACACGTGATGGGACAGATGAGCATCTCAATACACACGTGATGAAACAGAAGACCATCTCAATACACACGTAATGGGACAGAAGACCATCTCAATACACACGTAATGGGACAGAAGACCACCTCAATACACACGTGATGGGACAGAAGACCATCTCAATACACACGTAATGGAACAGAAGACCATCTCAATACACACGTGATGAAACAGAAGACCATCTCAATACACACGTAATGAGAAAGAAGATCATCTCAATACACACGTAATGGGACAGAAGACCGGCTCAATACACACGTAATGAAACAGAAGACCATCTCAATACACACGTAATGGGAAAGAAGATCATCTCAATACACACGTAATGGGATAGAAGACTATCTCAATACACACGTGATGAAACAGAAGACTATCTCAATACACACGTGATGGGACAGAAGACCATCTCAATGCACACGTAATGGAACAGAAGACCACCTCAATACACACGTAATGGGACAGAAGACCACCTCAATACACACGTGATGGGACAGAAGACCATCTCAATACACACGTAATGGGACAGACGACCATCTCAATACACACGTAATGGGACAGAAGACCATCTCAATACACACGTAATGGGAAAGAAGATCATCTCAATACATACGTAATGGGACAGAAGACCATCTCAATACACACGTAATGGAACAGAAGACCATCTCAATACACACGTGATGAAACAGAAGACCATCTCAATACACACGTAATGGGAAAGAAGATCATCTCAATACACACGTAATGGGACAGAAGACCATCTCAATACACACGTAATGGAACAGAAGACCATCTCAATACACACGTGATGAAACAGAAGACCATCTCAATATATACGTAATTGGAAAGAAGATCATCTCAATACACACGTAATGGGATAGAAGACCATCTCAATACACACGTAATGGAACAGAAGACCATCTCAATACACACGTAATGGGACAGAGGACCACCTCAATACACACGTGATGGGACAGAAGACCATCTCTATACACACGTAATGGGACAGACGACCATCTCAATACACACGTGATGAAACAGAAGACCATCTCAATACACACGTAATGGGACAGAAGACCATCTCAATACACACGTAATGGGACAGAAGACCACCTCAATACACACGTGATGAGACAGAAGACCATCTCAATACACACGTAATGAAACAGAAGACCATCTCAATACACACGTAATGGAACAGAAGACCATCTCAATACACCCGTAATGGGACAGAAGACCATCTCAATACACATGTAATGGGACAGAAGACCATCTCAACCATAGGTCTCTCACCACACAAATAATGCTACAGTAAACCTGCTCAACACACATAATAAAAATACGCGCGGGTTATGAAGCACAAGACCCCTCAACACACACATAATAGGTATTTAATAGGTAATAACATACACAAAATGAGACAAAAGACACGTGCAATATGATAGGAAGCCTTCCTTGTTCTCCTTGAAATATCCGCCATTTTTAAACTGGCACGTGACTGGCATGCATGTATACATCACTAAAACATTGAATAATATAGAAATAAATGAACATACACACAACGGAGATACATACATTACTGACAACAAAATGTTTTTATTCGAGTAAATAATTATTTATCAAGAAACGAAATTGTTTTGTTCACATGAGTGAACACATAGGACAGATAATATTGTCCATTTCGACTACACTATAACTGGGATCACATGGCATAGATCCACTGTTGTGCGATCTTTTAAGTTGAACTGCAATGTGTATAATTTCGTCAACA